TTAACCGGGTTAGCAACTGGTTTGTTTCGCTAATGTTAGCTAGGTTGTTGGCTAAACTGTGAGATTTGTGCTCATGCAAGAACAACATTGACCTTACCTACTCATCCCAACACACATAATACTCTTTATTTCCCCTTGATACAGTCTGTGAGGCTTCTTACCGGCACTATTTCTCTGTTTGTTTGTTGTCGGCCTGTAAATTACTCGGACTAGCTTCTTCTTCGTTGGTGTTACCGAGAGTCGGTGAACCAGCTTCACCGTGCTCACCGCCGCCCGCTGGAGCAAAGTGGAACTGCAGGTTCGTCACAGAAAATGCTGTCCTGCTCTCTGACACTGCACCAATCAGAAAAGGTTTATAGTCTCTAATTAATGGCTTTATTAATGCTTAATAAATCACTTACTAACAATGAGCAGCTTGAAATCCTCCTGCAAAGAACTAACCTCATTAATTAATTAGTGAGACATCTCCAGGGGACTGATTGACCACCATGTACAAGGCTGTTTATTAACCATACACAGCTTCAGGCTTATTATGTTTGCACCATTTATGAACTTATACATGGAGTCTGACTCACTGTGGATCTGTGAGTGAAACTTACACTGGTCCAAATGTAGAGAGAGCAATGGTTGATGGGAACACATTTCATTAATTTATTTTTACAACATTTTGAAGTGAAGAACTTTTCGTTCTGTTGGTTGAATAAAGACTCTGTTCCATCAGTGTGTCCTGGTTAAATCAGTGCTCTTGTAATAATCAGAACCAAAATACTTTATTGATCCACAGGAGAAATTAGGTTTCGTTACAGCTGCTGTAACAGCAAGTAATAGAGAATAAGAAGTAAGATTATAAAGATAAAGATGAAATATAAAGATGAAATATAAAAATATGTCCTTATACTATGATATATAAATAAAAATAGCAATATGTAAAGAAATAAGTGGATATGTGCCTCTGCTATTGAAAAGTGATAGTTAAAATATACAATATAAATATAAATGCAACAATACATGGAGTAATTGCACTTTCAAATTGCACTTGTCTGAACAGTATTGCACAGAGAATAGAAGTATTGAAGTATTGCACTCGTTTGTACTGTTGTGTCAGAATCACAAAGTTAGAATAATATAATAAGAGTAAATAATTAAATTATGGAGTAAGTAACATGTGTCCAATCTGCAGGTGTTCATGTTAATAATCAGTTTCTTGGTCCAGGTGTTCTGGACAGAGCGGCAGGTGAAGGACTCTCGACATGTGATCTTCACAGGATCTGTTGTTTTGGCTCGTTCTGCACCAGCTGTGCCAGATGTCATCACACAGAGACGGTCGGCCTGTGAATTAATCATTAACATCTGCTGTGGTGTGATGGTCACACCGAGATCAGAGGCCAGCGTATAAAAATACATGTTTATGGATCAATTATTCACTCACGATTTTAAGAGAATTTAAAGGAGAAATCAGAGTTTGGAAGAAGATTAGAGCCTCGTGAACATTTTTGTTTTGAATTCAATTTTTTTTCTCTCAGTATTCTCACTTTAAACTCTGAATTTCTGACTTTTCTTTTCTAACTTTTTCTCTCTGAGTTCTGAGACTAAAGTCAGAGTTCTCAAAAAAAAAGAAAGAAAAGATTTTACATGTGACCCTAATCCTCTTCCGTAGGGGCGTGGATCTGTAAACAGGTTGATTATTGTTCATAAAAAAAACACAGCCTATTTTAAACTAAGTTAAGATAAAGTGTGTGTAGCGATAAAGGAAAGTGTGTTTACATGGAGCAGCAGTGCAAGTTAATGTTCACCAGTACAAACAGTGATATGAGCCCATAAAGCCGATGATAGCTTATCTGTAACCTGGTTTTCAGTGCAGTGTGTGTGTGTGTGTGTGTGTGTGTGTGTGTGTGTGTGTGTGTGTGTGTGTGTGTGTGAGGACAGACTGTAACGGTTCAGTCGGGTCGGCTCATATTTCAGCAAATATTTACAGAGCTGAGAGTCATGAACAGACGAGGAGGAAGACATGAAGAGACGAGTGTGGCAGAGGAGAGATCCTGAGATCTGCTGTGTTTGCATCAACAGCAGAGCGGGGGGGGGGGGGGGGGGGGGGGGGGGCTGTGACTCAGTGAAACGTGTCTGCAGCCTGAGGAGGAGGAGCCTCTGCAGGAGGAGGGAAGTCACAGCTGCTGGTTTCTACGGTGACACGGATACAAAACAGGCGCTGCGTGTTCTCACTCTGCAGGATGTGAAGTGACACATGATGAGTCAGTGACAAACTCATGGTCACATGATGTCAACTCTTCACATGATTAAACATAAACAAACTGTTTTCAAACCAAGTCATGGTTCATCATTTGTTAGATATTCTTTTATTTTTTATTCCTTCCTCCTTCAATGTAGACGTTCAAACTTTCCATGACTCTGAGCGTCTCTAGAAACAGCTGTTGACAAAACAACCTCAACTCAATGTCTACTTTCTTCTTTTTAAAAAAAAATAAAGCTTTGTCTAATGATGAAGACCATGTGATGTGCTCAAAAGGTTCAGTAGTAGAGACAGAGTGGAGCTTTCTGCTGTTTTTAAGGTCAAGAATCAGCATCAGACTCAAAACCAGAGCTCTCAGTGTAACATGAGAAGTACATGTAACCTCACATGATGGAGGAGGATGGAGGATGTTGGAGGATGATGGAAGATGTTGGAAGATGTTGGAGGATGTTGGAGGAGGATGGAGGAGGATGGAGGATGATGGAGGAGGATGGAGGATGATGCGGATGATGGAGGAGGATGGAGGATGATGCGGATGATGGAGGAGGATGGAGGATGATGCGGATGATGGAGGAGGATGGAGGATGATGCGGATGATGGAGGAGGATGGAGGATGATGCGGATGATGGAGGAGGATGGAGGATGATGCGGATGATGGAGGAGGATGGAGGATGATGCGGATGATGGAGGAGGATGGAGGATGATGCGGATGATGGAGGAGGATGGAGGATGATGCGGATGATGGAGGAGGATGGAGGATGATGCGGATGATGGAGGAGGATGGAGGATGATGCGGATGATGGAGGAGGATGGAGGATGATGCGGATGATGGAGGAGGATGGAGGATGATGCGGATGATGGAGGAGGATGGAGGATGATGCGGATGATGGAGGAGGATGGAGGATGATGCGGATGATGGAGGAGGATGGAGGATGATGCGGATGATGGAGGAGGATGGAGGATGTTGGAGGATGTTGGAAGATATTGGAGGATGATGAGGATGATGGAAGATGATGGAAGACGTTGGAGGATGATGGAGGATGATGGAGGATGTTGGAGGATGTTGGAGGAGGATGGAGGATGTTGGAGGATGATGGAGGAGGATGGAGGATGATGAGGATGATGGAGGATGATGGAAGACGTTGGAGGATGTTGGAGGATGATGGAGGATGTTGGAAGATATTGGAGGAGGATGGAGGAAGATGGAGGATGATGGAGGATGATGGAAGACGTTGGAGGATGATGGAGGATGATGGAAGCAGAACACTGACTGTCAGTGACTGTGAAAAAGGTGAAGCGGTAAAACTAATGGAAGGAAGTGAGAGAAGAAGAAGAGCTGGAGGAAACACAGTCTGGTATCGTGACATAAGATCCTGGACGGTTTCAGAATCATTATATGGAGGTTATACAGATGTTCAGCAGGTGTTTTACAGTTTGATATTTTTTCTTTAGTTAATGAATGAATGAATTCATTCATTCATCAACAGGCTGTAGATCAGCTGACTTTTGACAAACCAAACAGTCTCTCTCCGCTCTCACTCTCAGATAAGTTCAGTTCAAAGTTTGTTTTAGAGGGAAACATCACACGGTGTTGAACAGCGATTAGAGAGATATGCCCCCCCCCCCCAGGCTGAGGTCACTCTCTGAACCAGGTCAGGGCTGTGTGAAGACGGCAGCTGCTGATAAACAAAGAAAACAGAGCTGCTGCACAAATGAAGGTCAGGCCTCACACACCGTCTCCAGAGTCCATGTGACAGAACAAAGTGGATCATAAAGCAGAAGCACTCAGCGTTTTATCTGATCGTGTCGTTTATCAGAGCCGGACTGTAACTACACGGAGAACACCTGTTCCTTTGATGTGACTGATCAGACCAGGATCTTTAGACTCAGTGTGTTTAAACTTGACACACTTTTCTTCCCCTGAGCTGTATCACTGAGACACACCTCCATGTTGGAAAACCAATCTACAGGAAGTAAAACTGAACAATTGATAAATGAAATATAACAAAATCAAATATTAAAAAAAATTTAGGGCATTATTTATGGTGTGTGATCAAAGGGATGTTTTGACTTCAGATTATTTTTACAACTTGATTAAAAAAAAAACTGACTTGCTGATATGAATGTTGTTGGAACATCTGTGTTTAATTGTACTGCTATTGTAATTAAAGTTGTGCTGCAGTGAACCTGTGAATAACTGCTCTGATCACAGAGGAAAGTATCTGGTTGTTCTGCTTTTAGGGAACATGAGCTTCAGTGAACTGACCACAAACCATCAGACTCATGACGAGCTGCAGCTTTTACTGTTTTTAACTTGGAGCTGAAAACTACAGAAGAGTGACGCATTCGCTCAAGAATAAAAATCTGCTCAGTTTTTCTGAATTAACGACATAATTATCTCAGAATATTGAGATAATTAATGTTAATGTTAATTTAGAAAAAAAAAATCTAGAAAACTTTTCTGTAAAAAAAATCTGTTTTTCTGAATTAAAAACAGAATTAAGATTATAGGATTTTTTTTATTTCTTTAGGAAAACTTTTCTCTAAAAAAATTTTGTTTTTTTGGAGATTTTTTCAGTTTTTTTTTTGACTCTAACTTCTCAAGTGAACGTATAAAACTGATGCAACATCTGTGCAGCAGAAGGAGGAGACCTGGCGGGGGGAGTGTCTGTCTGAGGGCGGGGGGGGGGGGCTCAACGGTCCAGATATAAAACCACAGGGAGACCTCTGGAGGAACAGTCTGTTGTTTTTCTGCTCAGTTTGAGACAGAAGAAGAAGAAGAAGAAGAAGAAGAAGAAGAAAAGAAGCGAAGAAGAAGAAAAATAACTTTTTTTCCTCTTGTTTACAAACTTTTTTCCTCAGAGGAACTTCTGGAGAAACAAACATGAGTCACGTCGACGTGAAGAATCTGAAGCCCACATCTTTTGAAGACGAATACTACGACGAATATGAATATTACAACTTAACCGACAAGTACGCAGGTGAGGCTTCCACACAGGTAACCTTCCACCTGGACTGAATGCGGCTGACAGGCGTGTTGAGTGATGCGATGTGTCTGTTACAGAGGGCTCAGCCCGTAAAGGCAGGACAAAGAAGGAGGCCAGCGACAACACCAACAGACCCAACCCCGCCGGGCACGAGCGCAAGATTGTGGACAAACTCCAGAACAGCGAGAAGAAAGCCAAAGAGTGACCGCTGAGGTGAGACTGCACCTCTGTTCTGAGATCAGTGTTACATCTGTGTTTAAGAGTGGCTGTCATGTTTGTGTTTGGTGAAGTTGCTGAATCATTATTATTATGATTATTATGATTATTATTATTATCGTAAATGCTCTGTGATTTCAGGAATCAGTATGAACTTTAAATTTACACATTTCTAAATGATGTCCGGTGTATGAAACTTTTTGAATGTTTGCGAAGTGGTAGGAAAAGTGTTAGAAAGACTTTGAGTGTTGAGAGACAAAGAAGTCGGTTAAAAGTACTTTTCCTGGAAGCGCACCAGGGGCGCCCCCTACAGGTTGGATCAAAAAAACACATTTTAAAATCAGTGTTCAATCTTTGTTTATGTCTGATTAAACTTATGCCGAATCTGAGAATGACTGTCATGTTTGTGTTTGGTAAAGTTGCTGAACCGTTTTACATGCGCTGGGATTTCAGACACCAGCATGAACTTTACATTGACAACATTTTACATGATGTCTGGTGTATGGAACTTGCAAACTTGGAAAGACTTTGAGCGCTGAAGATGTTTTCATGTGTGAGACAAACAAGTCGGAGGTTAAAAAATCTTTTTCCTGAAAGTGTCCCTCAGTACACAAGGGGGCGCTCGCTACAGGTTGGATCCAAAAAACTAATTTTGAAATCGGTGTTAACTCTTTGTTTATGTTCATAGCTCTGTGCTGAATTTAAGAGTGGCTTTCGTATTAGATTAGTAAAAGTTGTTGAATTATTTAATTTTCCCTGTGCTCACATAAATGAGTAAATACTTTAAATTGGCAGAACTTTAGAATGATGAGGCAATTTGTAGATACGTTTACACCATAGACTCTGAATAAGGTTTAAACATACTCGTGATGTGTTTAAGGGTCTGTTGTTAAATATGACAAACATTCAGCGCACCAAGTTTCCTTTCTTTTAAACCGGGGCGGTTGGTGCGACTCAAAAGCAGATTTTTGTGCTGAAATAAAAGTTTCCTGTTTGTTCACCATGTGCTGAATTTGAGAGGGGTCATTTATTTTGTGATTGGTAAAAGTTACAGGATCATTTCATCTGCACTATACTTCCACAGATACTTTAAATTAGCCAGTTTATGAATGACGTCTGGCAAAGGGAACTTTTAAGGAAGTTGGTGTAAATCAAATACTCAATGTTTCCAGGCTTCTTCATCACAAAGCTGCGAAAACATTCAAAACCATGAAAGGAACTGCAGTAGACGTGACCTCAGTGTCATAAACGGTAGTTATGGTTTTGCATAGACATGTTTTTACCACAGTGTGATCTCATTTCTCTGACGCAGGGCAACTCGGACGGCTCATCCCGGACACCGACCACGGCCTCCTTGGCGACGGACAGAACGAGACGTGCAGACGGCAGGAAGGAGCGTCTTTGAGCTCCGATGGGCGAGGTTCTACCTGGGCGTGAAGAGGAGCCCGCAGATCCAGATGTTCCAGCTGCTGCTCCTCCAGTGAGACGGGCAGCAGACTGAGGCTCCTCAGCCTGTAGGTGTTGTAAAGCACTCACCTGTGGCGGGGTGCACCGGGTCCCTGTTTGGACCGTGACGGTGCACGGTGGTGGTGGTGGTGGTAGTTGGGTGATTTTCTGTGTCTCAACAAGTTTCAATGGATTTTTAAAAGAAAAATATTTTTTACATTAAAAACTTTTTAAGTGACTTGACTTTGTGTCTTTTGTCTCTTTTGGTTTTTTATTATTATTTTACAGTGTCAGAGTTCAAAGTTCACACTAATTTACAGGTGAATCTTGATTTCAGTCGAGCTGGATTTTACACCTCAGTACTTGTTTGGTACAAATCTACAGTAACAAGATGGGATGAATGAATCACTAAAAATAAGTAAGAAATCAAAAACTAATAATACCTGCCACAATAAATTTTAAAAGACGATAGGAAACAAATGCATGAAATGAGTTGAACTGGTCAAGATGAAAACTGAGGATCACTCAGGTTATTACAGTTCATCCTCAGATACATCTACAAATACATTTTATGAAGTGTGAAATATGAGAGCTTTAAATATTATATTGTATTATATACTTATAAATCATATTAAAGATCATGTGTTGTAAAAATAGTGTCGCACAAGTTTATTTTACATCCCTGGAGTCCTGAAGCTCGACTGCCTCTGATCAGGTGACGGCAGCTCTTCAGTGTTTGGGTCCAGACTGGTTTAAAGGTCACAGAACAGGAACCAGAACCTCGGCGTGATGGAGAGATCCAGAGACTTTGTGAGCTCAGACCTGCAGAGACTGAGGTCTGGATCCACCAGCAGGTGGCAGCAACTGTCCAACATCCACAGACTGTAAATGTGAGTCTGGACTCACTGCTGTGTGTGTGTGTGTGTGTGTGTGTCTTTAACACAAATGAGCATTAAGGAGTGAGTGTGCGGTGCGTTCGCTGCTCCTCAGCCCACCATGATGTCATGACAGAGCTTGTTTGTTTTACCTTCAGCTGTTTGCTGCGTCAGATCCGCGGTCTCACTCTCTCTCTCCTCACAGAGTTTTCATATACAAACTTTTGGTTTGTCGGAGCTGCAGTTTTAGAAAAGAGGTTATGCAACAGTCTGGAGTTACGTAACAAAGACAAACTCAGACTCAGACTGAACTTGAAGATGTAAATCAGAGGGTGAAACTGATTAAAGGGCTGATGTTCTTTATTCAGCTCCAGCTGCCGGAGTCTGACACGTCGTCCGTCTCTAGTTACAGTCAGTAAAATACCATGAAGCCCAGTGAGTGCGTCAGTGTGGAACATTTTAAGTTGCATTTCTTTGACACAAACAAAATTTATATCTTTTACGTTTTGACTCTTCACCATCAGTTACAGGCTGGAGATCAGTTTCATATCGTCTTTTACAACATATCATGAAATCACAGATCGATTAACTTCCTTCATTAACAAAACAATCAACTAATCCTCAAAGAAAGTAATTGTCAGATCAGATAATGAAGAGAATTGTTCTTAAAATAAAGGCAAAAAGACAAAGGAAAAGATGTTTTTAAAGATGTAGTTGATTTGAAAAGGCCATACACACAAATCATTTATTATTTTGTTATTTTGAGTTAACAGAATTGTCAGGTTTTGCAGTTATAAGGAACCCAAAGCAGACCATCCAAGAGAAGGTGAAATCAGTGATTTATCAAGTGAAGGAAAAACAGAAACTCACAAAAACCAAGAATCCAAAATACACCAGCCGAAATCCAAGAACGAAAGAAAACACTAGAGGAGAGCGAACGGGGAGAGTGGAGAGAAGCAGGAGTACAACCGGAGAAAACAGGAACCAGGACGAAGTGACAAAGACAAACTGGAGCACAGAGACTAAATACACACAAGGGAGGCAGGTGATGGAACGCAGGTGAAACACATTAGGGCGACAGTCAAACTGGAGGGAAACAGGACAAAGACAGGAAGTAAGAGATGTCCGAAATGTCCAATCACAAAGAGTCTTTAAGGCAAACTGTCATCTCTAGATCAATATGTCAACCTGTGAACAGCAGCTGAATGTGTTGAATAATAACTCACTGTTTGTTTTTGTTTTTCATATATTTTTGTGGTGTGTGTTTTCTTTTCTTTGTTGTGTGTAAATGTTTCCTGAAGAATAAAACCAAACCAATGAACCTTGAAATATTTGAGTGTTATGTCAAACACCTGAACGCACCATCAGTCTCGTCTCTGTGAGGACAGACTGTCTCCTGCGGGGAGGAGGAGCAGGTCCGGCCCGACCTTCAGTTCTCTGGAGAATCCTCCTGTTTGAGTTACTGACACATTTTCATAAGTGATGTCTGAGTTCACTGCAGAGCCCATCAGTCTATTTCTGTGTAACCCTGACTTCCTGTTTGGCTCTGGGTGTTTGAGTCTGAGTAAATCTGCCGCCGCCGCTGCGGCTCGACAAACAGGAAGCAGAGCGGAGTTCGAATCCCCCCGTGCAGCAGGATCTGGCTCCGGTGCCGGAACAGGGATCAGGATAATTTAAAGAAACGATCCAAAAACTTCAAGAGGCTGTTACATAACCAGCTTCATCATATAATACACACACACACACACACACACACACACACACACACACACACACACATACATCACCCCCCCCATCATCTCCCCCCTCTGCAGAGGAGATACCAGTGCTTTTAGAAACTCCCCTGGTTGCCTAGCAACTAGTCCTGAGGATTGCCAAAAGAGACCTCACATTTGTCTGTTATGAGCATGATATGCTGTAAGTGTGTGTGTGTGTGTGCGTGTGTGTGTGTGTGTGTGTGTGTGTGGGTGTGCTGTGTGTGTGTGTGTGTGTGTGTGTGTGTCTGTCTGTGTGTCTGTGTGTCTGTGTGTCTGTGTGTCTGTGTGTTTGTCTCATGAATGGTGTCTTGTACTAGATACACTTTATGTTCAATGTTAATGGCCCTGAAGCTGAGCTGATGTTTGTGTTGTTGTTTTCAAGGTGTTGCTGCTGTTGTTGTTGTTGTTGTTTTCGTTGCTGCTGTTGTTGTTGTGCAGCTGCTGTGGCTGGAAACTCTCCAAATTCTGCTGCTGTTGGTTTGTCAGTTTGTTTTTTGTTTGTTGGTTTGTTGGTTTGTTGGTTGGTTTGTTGGTTTGTTTGTTGGTTGGTTTGTTGGTTTGTTGGTTTGTTGGTTTGTTGGTTGGTTTGTTGGTTGGTTTGTTGGTTTGTTGGTTGGTTTGTTGGTTTGTTGGTTGGTTTGTTGGTTTGTTTGTTGGTTTGTTGGTTGGTTTGTTGGTTTGTTGGTTTGTTGGTTGGTTGGTATGTTGGTTGGTTTGTTGGTTTGTTGGTTGGTTGGTTTGTTTGTTGGTTTGTTGGTTTGTTTGTTGGTTTTGTTTGTTTGTTTGTTGGTTGGTTTATTGGTTTGTTGGTTTATTTGTTGGTTTGTACTGGCGGAGTGAGGATGTCTCCAGTACACCCAGTGGGTTCAGGGTATCTCAGCTGGTGTCTTCATACAGCAAAACAACCTCTGCCACAAACGTCAACCACTGAATTCAGTCTTAAAGTTTCATTGATCCAGATTACTTGAATTTGCAAACTGCAACATGTAAAACAAGTGATTGGTTAATATCAAACTCTCTTCTTTATCTCTTACATTAAATATTAATAAACCACGACCTCAATCCTTTTCAAACTTTAACTGAGGTGTGAGTGTGGAAACAGGAGTTAAATCCTGCTTTGTTGTGTATCAACAGGAGACGGGCCGCATGATGTCTGATGACAGCAGCTACAGCGCTACAGAGAAAACATGAACCTTTATCCTATCATGTGTCTCTGTTGTACAAAGATGAAAGAGATCAGTAGATGAGTATAGACACAGGTGAGTCACTCAGCTCAGGTGTCACTGAGCTGCCTCCGTCATTGTGTCGTTCTGGTGCGAATCCGTCCTCCATGTTTGTTGGCAGATGTTTACAGGCTCAAAGGTGAGAGAGCCGGAAGGTAAACATCAGCCACATTTATATCTCCTGTCACACAGCAGCATGAAAACAAAGGCTTCTGTCAAAGAAATAGAAACAACAAGAAGAAGAAAACACGGAGGAGTGACTCCACTCATCATAACAATGTTTAATATGAAGCATCGTCGAGATGAATGATGCTGATGATCTGTGGTTTGATGTCGGATGAGTCGACAGAAAAGATCAAGCTGCTGTAATGAAACATCCCGACGGCCACATCTGATACCTGTTATTAAAGTGAAGGCGGGCGCGTGTGTGTGTGTGTGTGTGTGTGTGTGAGAGAGAGAGAGAGACCTTGTGTTTCTATGCATATGAAGACCAAAACAAATACGTATTAACAAGGAAAATCAGTTCCCTCCTTTGTTAACGAGTTAATTTGAGACTGAAGAAGGAAGAAACATTTACATTCTTCACTTAAGCAAAAGTGTTAAAACCAAAATGTCAAAATAGTCATGAGCAAAAGAAATATAATCACAATATCCAGCTCTCAGATGTAGAGTAGCAGAAGTTTGAAGTAAAGTACAAGTACCTCAAGATTTGTCATAAGTCATAAGCCCCGCCCACCTGGACCCACCATCCAAACCTTTGCAGGATTTGGTTTCTCTGAGTGTTTTTACCTGAAATCTGCTTTATTTTTATTAAATCACTCAGAAATTTATTGGATCATGTGTGTCCATGTAGTGTGATCCACAGAGGTCAGAGCTGCTTCAACAGACTGAGAGGTCTGATATTAAAGTGACCTCTGATCCACACGCACACACACACACACACACACACACACACACACACACACACACACACACACACACACACACACACACACACACACACACACACACACACAAGGTGAAAACACACAGCTGCAGGTTTTCAATCCACATTTCCATAAATGAGGCTCAACACTCGGCAATTTAAGAAAACACACAAATAAACAAAAAACAAAGAGTTTAAGAGAAAAACATTAAGGAAACATCTCGACTAAAACACAACCGAACTGAAGAGCTGCTTTACACACATCTCAGTGTGAGTGTGTCGTTGTGTTTTCAGTGTGTGTTGTAGAATTGCTGGAGATGTTTTTCTTAATGTGTTTGTGTTTTGTTAAATTGCTGTGCGTTGCGTTCTCTCCATGATCGTTGCTCTTTAATGTTCCTCGTTAGCAGTGAGGTCAGCTGATCTAACTGCAGGAGAGAGAGATACAGTCTGTGCTTCTC